AACAAAAAAATTACTCAAATTCAAAAATTCGTTTCTACCTTTAAAAAAAATCCGGTTACGACCTAATTACAGGTTAGTTTATAGTTTTTCTAACATACATAATAAATGCAACTATAAGACTTTCTTACTTTCAAATTTTATGGAAATTTTCCCATATTATTATGTTTATTAAACCTGGCAAGCCACCTGATGACCCTGCCTCTTTCAGGCCAATAAGCTTTTTGCCCTTTTTCTCTAAGATTTGTGAAAAACTCATCCTTAAACGATTGTCCTCACACATTACCCTCAATAATGTTCTCCCTCATTCACAATTTGGTTTTCGCTGTTATCATAGCACAATTCATCAAGTGCGTAAAGTTGTGGATGCCATTTCCTCCTGCCTAGAAAAGAATCAATACTGTATTAGTGTTTTTCTTGATGTATCTCAAGCGTTTGACAGGATCTAGCACCAGGGATTATTATTTAAACTCTGGAAATGTCTTCCTTCAGTACTTTTTCATTTAATAAAATCGTATCTTGACAATCGTTATTTTCAAATTCGTTACGGCTCAACCTTCGCTAATATTTCAATTATTAATGCCGGAGTTTCACAGGGTGGTATATTATTTCCTATTTTATTTAATATTTACGTCTCCGATCAACCCACGATTGCTGATACTTTAGTAGCAGATTATGCAGACGACAAGGCCATTTTATCAATGCACGAAAACCCAGAAATTGCCTCAGCTACTCTCCAACTCCATCTTAACTTAAATTTTTTGTAGCAGTCAGCCATTAATTCCATCTTAACTTAATGACTGCTACAAAAAATGGAGGGTCAAGATAAATAGCACCAAATTAATACACATAACCTTCACACTGAAACTAGGACACTGCCCTAATGTTTTCATAAATAATATTCGAATCCCCACATCTGATACGGTCAAACGTTTAGGTCTCTATCTCGACAAACGCTTAACATGGAATAATCATTTAAAAATTTAAAGACTTCTACTAAATTCACGCTCACGTATGTTCAAAGCACTTTATTCAAACAGATTCACAAATTTAAAGACAAAAATAATAATATATAAATCTCTTTTAAAACCTATATGGATTTACGGATTACAACTATGGCCAAAAAGTCAAATACCAACAAAATTCAAGCATTCCAAAATATTTCACTCAGTAAGGTCACAAATGCGCCTTTTTTTTGTCTCGAATCATACTTTTCATACCGACCTTCATATAAAAACTATTAATGAAGAAGCCAAAACTTTCTACAGTAGATTTCATCTCAAACTTTCGAACCACTCGTCAAAAATTTTTTTGTCCCAACCCTTCCTGAAAATCCTCAATATAGGTAGAAAAAAAACATGGTGTCATGAGCTTCTTTAATTAACAATTTTATTTTATTTTATTTTTCTTTTCTTAATTTATTTATATTTCTTAATAGTTCTTCCTCTTTTTCATAAAAAAAAAAAAATAAAAAAAATAAAAGCACTTCAATATTTAATATATATATATATATTTAATATTTAGTTATTTAATTAATATACAACAGCTAAAGTGTCACTAATGGGTAGCTCCTTTAATCACTTCTTCCATGTCTGTTTTTTGTTTTTTTTTTATATTACATTGCACGCATATGCTTATTGTACCAATAAATTATACAGATTACATATTATCAAATAAAATAAAATAAATAAAAAATAAATAAAAAATTTGCAATCAAATTTTTAAATTTATAAATGTTTGTAAATATATGCATTTATCGTAAAAAACGAATTTTCATAGAATCGTAAATATTTAATTAACATGTATGTGACATTTTTAATGTCATGTTAAAAATAAAATAGGATTTACAGCACATTAAATGAGGCTTTTAAGTTTGTATAAATTGTTATAACCCATCATTTTCAATTTAATTAATTTAGCAGTTAATGTTTTTTTTAAGGAGCATGTCATAGATAATTTATACTGCACACGCGAGTTGTTTTTTCGAACCTGCTCATTTACTCGAAACAAGCGTAAGTTGTTGAACACGACATACTCCTATCATATTATTATTATTATCATTCATAACTACTTGGGTTGAAGTATTTCTACTCGAAAAAATGTGAACTTATAGCTCTAAATCATGCATAAAATAGTTTTCGAATGCTAATTAGAAGATAATCTTTGGTTTTTATTGTATTGCAAAATTACAATTTTTATTTTGCATACATCTTGTATACAAGTGTAACTTGACTTATAATTCAAGTAAATCTCAAATTACTAAAATAGTAGATTTTAGAATATTGTATAGTAAAAATAATTTCTTTTGTTTATTTTTTCTATTTATATATATATATATATATATAAAAAAAAATTAAAAAAAGTTGTGTAAGACGAAATACGATGAGTAAAATATACTTCTAAAACTCAAAAAATGTAAAAACGCGATTTAATTATTTGTACGTGCCATAAAATTGTATCCGAATATTAAAGCTACATACATCCACATGCAAAACTAAAATCTGTTTATATATAATATTTTTTTATTTTTAAAATAAATATTCATATTATTTTTACAATATATACTAACATTAATGTAACCGGTTACAATATCCTATATATTTGTTTATATATATTGCTCTAAGATATTGTAAGTCTATTGATTTATCGATTGTTTAATACTTACTAGTATATTACACTGAATTAAAATTAACATATTACCCAGGCAGACACACACATTCAATTGTTTGAAACAATCACCTCAAAAAGTTATGTCCTTAACGTCACAGATATTGTCATACGCTATTATTGACCTGTCAAACATAAAAATCCAATTATGAACACCTATACGCTATGCACTGGTTAATATATCTCATTAATATATCAGTGGTTGGACATTTTATCGAAGAAAAAGATTGTAGAAACTTTACTATTTCAAAAATCGTCAAAACCCACTCCTTATGCGGTATTCACTTACATAATAATAATACAGATGATAACGTAATAATTGTTGAAAAAATATTAATGATTACGGGAAGGATTTCACACTCTGTTGTGTCAGTTGTTGTATTTCAAATACGTTGATAACAAAATAATAGTTGAACATTGATTTCAAATGTTTTCATTTCCATTCGAGCATATGAGCTTGTTGAATCCATTAAGTATGTAGTTAAATTAAAAATATTTTAACTTTAATAAAGCTTTAATATATACAATTATACCTTAAACTTACCACGCATTTTTTGATCATTATTAATAAGTCATATTCAAAGAGCAATCGTATTCGTTTAATACAATAAAATTAAGTGATGTAAATATGTATAAAAAAAAAAAGAAAACAATTTACAGTTTTATTTTATTTTTTTAAGTAAACCTAATCTAAAACGTTTATACTCGTATAATGGTTATTTTATTTTTGGCCAAAATAAAAAATATGAGTTTAAAAAAGTTAGTTATTCGCTTGAGAAAAATTGCTTCATTTATTTATTCAAATCACGGGTTTCGGAAACATTCTGTTGAATAAAACATTGGTAAAGAAAGTCTGTAATATAAATTTTATTATATAGAGTATACAATAATAACTTACCTCGTTGTAAATTGATAAGATTTGCATGCACAAAAAAAAAAATACGCAGTATGACTTTTTTAATTTAAAAAAAAGTCCTATAAAAATTTACATGGACCGTGCTGCACCCAAATCACAGATTATTTTTGTTTATACTGAAAAGAAAATAACGATATTTTTTATTGTATTCATTATTTTAAATCATTTAAACTTTTATTTTAAGTACAACTTTTGAGATTAAATTAGTTTTTTTTTAATTTTTTTTTTTTTTTTTTTTTAGTAATAATATTGTCAATAATTGTTTCTGTTATTAAAAAAAAAATGTTTGCAACTATAACGTTTCTAATACTTTATGACACGTCCATGCTCTTAGAAAATACTAAAATAAATATATAGTTAAATTTAAAACTATAAAGTTGAACAAATTCGAATTTCGTATTTTTGTTGTAAGTCATTATTTTGAGCAAAAATTGTAATTGTAATTGTCTTATTTGTAAAAGTAATAGAATAACTTTTATTGAAGAAACATGGACCGTGAAAAGAAATTATATCTTGTTTTTGAAAGAAAATAATAATTATTTTTCTTAAAGAATTATTTCTTAACACAAGCTTAATTTTAAAAACCAGTTCGTATGAATATAAAAATATATTTAGTTATATTATCTAAATCTTAGTGGCTATTAAATTTAAGCAAATAATGCAAAATATCCATTGTTTCCATACGGCCTGATTTTGTACAGGCATCGAAAACATATCATTTACAAAAAAAAGAACGTTGGCGTTAGAGCATTGATCGTACAAAATATATTTTTAATAACACTTTAGTCCAATTGAAATTAAAATACATTTACTATACGGGCATTCTGTAATATTCAATATACTATACCATTATACTACATAGGACACCACTTGTAAATCATTTTTATAGTTTAAATTAATTGTTAAATTTTTATTTCAGTTCAACAATCCGGTCTAGTTGCGCACACGAAACTCCATTTAAGTGTGTTTCTAATAACCAAATAAACTCAATAAATATAAAACGAAGCTACTGAAGCATTGAAACGCATTCTAAATGTTTTTATATAATGTAGATCACGTGTCTTGTTATATTTACAGTGTAGGTATGTGATTTCAACATAAAACATTTATACAAATTCAATATATTACAAAAATATTTTTTTTTAATGATATAATAAATGGTACAAAAAATAAAAATTGAGATACGACGTAAGACAGTACAATAATATTACATGCGTGTATATAAATAAATAAATTATCAGTACAATAATCATTTTTTGTTGCAATACGGCGGATATATACGTACACATCGGCAAATGTAAACATTGAAGGTTGATGAGGTAAAAACTAGGTTCTCAAATAATCATAAAGAAGCAAAAAAAAAATTTAAAAAAAAATATTACGAAATTTGAATCAAATAAAAAATGTATGATGGGATAACAATGGTACAATACGTATTATAATTACAAAAAATAAACAATAAAAATGAAAACCGATACATAATAGAAAAATATAAGGTAGACGTTGATCAAAAATCCGGCATACATGTTCGACCAAGAAATAGTTATCGGTATTGAATTCATCATTTCTAGATTGCATGAGAGTCCTGAACAACTGAGAAAACTTTTCTCGGGATCAAAATATAAAACGTAACTATATCTAAAACGCGATGTTTACTTAATGATACGAGACGCGTCCAACGATAGCTCGGACACTAATGAGTGATTGCCCTGTTGAAAATTAAATTGACATCCTCTCGGGCTGCTGTTCAAGTCATTATCGCGTGCGAGACGAGCTGCAGTGTTAGGAGAAGTATCATTGGTGTAGTAATGATGCGGTGGACAATAGGACTTTTTTTTGCACGGCGCTGGTTGGCCAAAAGTTCCATATTTTCAACGATTCATCCGAACTCGACAGAGCTGTCGAAACACAATGAAAAATTGAATTTCGATAATTAATAATTAATTAATAATAAATATGGTATGGTAAAAATATTAATTATTCTTATTGTTTACTATGGTATATTACGTATACAAAACCTAAAATTGTACAGCATTTTTCAGTTTTGTACAATTGCTAAAATATACCCTATAAAATATAATTTACCCTTGTTAAAAATTAAAAATAAATCCCTCGTTGCATGTATATTTATTATACGTTTCGGTATACAATTATTTAAATTTAATTTCCTGGGAAGGCGCATTATTAACGAAAATAAAAATGCATAGGTCCGAGTGCTAAATAATTATAATATGATTTTACCGTTGATACGCTGAACGCCCACTGACGAAATAACTCAGCGGTTTAATATAATATAATATTTCTATCGTAATTTGATAAAATTGTTATTAATATTTTTCAATAATAAATTAATCATTTTTCTTAAGAACTAGTATATACTCGTATATCTGAAAATTTCAAAACTTTTGTTTAGGTCGTCGAAAAATTGCGACCCGGGGCAGCTGCTCCTTTTGGCCCCCCCTCCTTTAACCCGGCACTACCGGGCACAATATTTGTTTGTGGCGGTATATATTATGGAGTCTGTATAGTAATATATTATTTAACATATTCTATGCAATACTAAATTTAACTAATATACAGTTATAAAGTGATTTGAAATTAAACTTTTAACATCGTAAAATACCTTTGTTCAAATGACAACTATGATACTATGGTGTTTATCGTATATTTGATATTATGTGTTATGACTGCTAAACTAACCGGTTTCAGTTAATTAGATAATAGTAATTTCAAAATGTATAAACAATTATACAGTGATGATAAATTAGTATTATATATTCAAATACATTTATTAATTATTATATCAAAACATTTTGTAAATAATAATAAAAAAAAAAAAAACCACTATAATTTAAATATAGCGATTCTTTCGAATTACTCATCTAAATGAAAATATAATCCTACTGGGAGCGATATATTACTAACACTACTTTTTATACTTAAACTTTGCAGGTCTGGCAATAATAAACGACCGCGTATTATCATTGATTATAATTATTAATATATTTGATCGATGATATTATTTCAAAGGTGCGATAATATTGGTTTTCTACTTTTTAAAATGATCTTCCTAATTCATTCGATCGATTCAAATGAAAAACGATAATATGTTAAATTAAAAACCTTAAGATAATATCCTTGTATGAGTACATTAAAAATGTACGTATATAAATAATGTAATAATCTAACCTGTAGTGGGAAAAATAATGTCCATTGAGTCAGACATACAAATTATGTATTTATTGAACATTTTCGTTACCTAACTAAATCATAGTGTAAATTAAGTACCTATTCGCGATCCGTCTGGATTCCACGCGAAAAAAGTTCCCACGTCTGTTGAACTGCTACTCATGGTTTCAACGATTCGATTCAGAGCGTGCATCACCACAACGCTGTGTTTTTCTACAACGCTGTGATTGAAATCAGAATTTTTTTCTAAAAACAAAAAAATAAAATGTATAACAATTATAGCGGTGTGAAATCCAGTAAAAAAAACAAGGTCTCCGTGTTACTGTATTCGACCAAACCGTTAGAAAGACACTTTTGCAAGTACTACGAGTATGGCTAAGGAGTGATCCACCTACGTGATTATAAAATACTATGCAACTAGATCTTTCCGAATATGTTTGTACGTGAAAAACTCTGATAATACATCTGAATAAACGTACTTTGATATTGATTTAACATTTTATCATCGAAAACAATTAATTTTTACTTAATAACACGCACACATTAATGTATATCATATAAGACTTAATATATCCATGATGCTAAATAAAAAAATAACAACAATAATCAATAAATATTGTTAAGATGATGTGTAGGATACAATTATGCCATTATGTAATATTATGAGTCTATAGGTACATAAATAAACAATGCACTCGAATAATATACATTAAAGTATTATAGTCAACTATTTTTAAATATTGAATAAGAGCGTTTTTGAGTAAAATACATAATATTTTGTTTTATTCTATACAAATAAGCATTTTAAAGAAAAACCAATAATTCAGTTTACAAATATAAAAAAATAAAATTAATATGATAAAAATCAATTCAACTGTGACGTTTCAATAATTTAAATTTCATAATCATAAAGGTGTATGCCTGGAACTGCTCTTAACTACGACGGTAAGTTGATTTGAAACAAAAAAGTAAAATTCTGCACATGATAAAATAATAAATAATAGACTTGAAATTGGTTGAAATGTATATTTGTCGGATCTTTGGGAATGTTCGGAAATTTGATTCTCCGAAATAAAAAATATACAATAAGTGAAAAAAAGCGTTTCGTTAAAAATCGACGACGGGTTGATTTGAAATATACATTGTGCTTTAGGAAAATAGCAGTAAAATAAAGTATACAATGTAATTAATAATTTTAAAAAATAGTGTCCGCGGCGACGAAAACCCGGCTAGTATTGTGGCCCTCGATTATCGACCCAATGTACACGAACGAAAAACTAAGTGAAATGTGTTATTATTATATACGTGTGTTTAGAGACGTATTTAGGCACAGGCCCTATAAGCCCAGGCCTAGAGCGGCAATATTGGAGGGCGGCAAATTTCAACGATTTTTTTTTTTACAAAATTATAAAAAGTAATTTTCATTTGATGAATTCAAACTTAACTAATTTTTTGTTTGCTCAAAATTAAACATCTATCTACATGTACCTACTATATTATACGCATACATAACACAATACGAGCACATGGATAACAATACATACGCGCATTCAATGCTGGTTCGATTTCTCATACAAAGACAAACAGACAAACACCATAGTTTATAGTTAAATAATGACAGGGAAATACCCGCTTATCGTTATAGAAACGCCTGTCTTCAAATCAACAAACTTCGAAAATAATAGAATTCGCCAATAAGTTACAAGAATGTTACAAAGATGATATTGAAAAAGCATTTTCAACAGAATGTATACAGTTTAAATCCTATTTGGAATCTTCAAATAAACAAATGAATTGCATTTCTTCTTTACAAATGTGTAAATTATTACGAAAAGATACTCTTACGGACGTGTATCCTAATATAGATACGAGTATAGCATTTAAAATATGTGTTTGTACTCCAATTTCTAACTGTACTATTGAGAGTTCTTTTTTGTGTCTTAAACGAATCAAAAATTATTTAAGATCGACTGTGGGTACTGAAAAACTCAATAGTTTGGCTATATTGAATATCGAAGCGGATTTACTGTCGACTTTAAATTGCAATGATTTAATTGATGCATTTTCTGAGGAAAAAAGTAGAAGAAAAAGTTTAAAGTTTAATGTTTCTAATTTAATGTTCATTAACAATGTATATTTTTTAATATAATATTATAATATAATAAATTTTATATTTAAATATGTTTTATTAATAATTTTAGGAAGGCTGGAGGGAGGGGAGGCGGCGAAGTGGAAAGTGCCTAAATGCAGAAAAACCTTAAATATGCCACTGCGTGTGTTATTATAAATAATATTATAATATACAAAAAATTTGGCACTGGAACCAAAAAAGATTCGCCACCACCGATATATGTGGGTTATTATTATTTATGTGTTATCATTGATATACTTACGAACTCTGTACACCGTTGTGAACGACACCAAGAGCTCGCCGGTCAAGCGGCTAAACGTCATGGAATGCGTGTTAACGGCCAATGTCCTTACCAACGGGCAGAAATCACACGTGTTCTGCGCCACACGTTTCAGCACTTGTCCTTTGCACGCGTTCGCCAAAACAAACCACGACGGGTGCGTCTTGGTGCCGTCCAGCGACAGGAACGGTTGGACGACAGACACGACGGCGTAGCACACTAGAGAATATTTCCACGGGTGCCAAGCGAGTGCCTGTCGGACAAACGAGATCGATCGATCGCGATGGTTAACACCACTTGTTTCTTAAAATCCTCTTGAAAACTAGTCGAACCTCTATTTAAGGAAACTACGCGCAACATGTTTTTTCATTTTATGGAAGCGTAACTTTTTCGTAAAAAAAAAAAAAATTCGTATAAACGATTTTATTCATTTTAAACCATAGTAATTCAAAGAGTTAACGTGTTCGCAATAACGTGGGGTAAAAAAAAAATATGTTGAGCTACGATACAAACGCACACGTACACTAACATATTACAATTACGATTAATAATATTAATGTAATACACGATTATTGTATACATTATTGTTTTAGGTTATTATTGTACTAGTTATTACATATGTTATTATTTGTATGCGTTTTGTACGGTAGAAACGTGTTTTTAAGTGATAAAAAAAAAAATTGAATTTATGTTTAACTCGATTTACGTTTAAAAAATTTTCCCGGAGAAAACCGTCCAATTCGGTAAATGGAGGTTCAACTGCATTAGAGAACAACAGCTACGTTGCGCGCGTTGAGTGCAAACAGCGCAGGTAATCTACACATTCTACACATACTTTTATCGTCCACATCGAACGGCCTCCACGTTTACTTTTGTACTGGTCTACCAAGACTACGATCCGGTCGACCGTTACTTCTTGCACGCTATCATTATTTCTGCGTCGGTCGTCGCGATCCAACTCGGGCGGATCCATGAAACGCCATATCTGCAGAACGCTTTCTCGATCCGAAAACGTGGCTACAGCCAGATGCCGGCTGGCTTTGTCCTGCGACAGTTGTAAGCAGCTGATCAACCGCTGTTCGTCGGCATTGCCCAGATGAATGACGTGCACAGTGATCAACTGTTTTTGGAGAACGTCGTATCTAAAAAACGTGACCGTTCCATTGGTGCATCCCCTGCAAACGCGACCGCCGAAGATTAACACTACACCAACGCATGTTATTCGTACTCTACATCGGTACGTTTCAATGTGTATTACATAATTTCAATTTTACATAGGACACTTGTGCGCAACGCACCGTCGAACTTACATTTCATTTTTCTGTCAGTTCTGTTCAATCTAAATTTTTAAATTTGTCTTTATATCTATTTTAAAAGTGTTGTTTTATGTTGTATTCTTTTAAAACTGTTATAGTTTCCTTACATATTATACACACAAGGACGGATCTAGAGGTTTTTACACTAGGGTAAAGAAATAAAAATACACCCTCATGTCGGTCATACTTTTTCTTATCGTTTTAGGGAAAATAAACAGTAGTTTTTATGTTCCTATTTCGCTAATATATATACTAAAATAAGCTATTAATTTAGAAGACAGTCTTTCATATAGTAATAAATCCGATTATGTTGTTAGGTATCCCCTTTATTCGACGTCAATGTTTTGTGAAGTCATGTCATTGACGTTTTATCGGAATAAACAATTTAAAAAGAGTTTAAAAATAAATTCTTATCCAATAACTATTAACCACCGATTTATATATATAAGTAAGATCGTTTCATATTTTTGTATTTTGGTGAATATTGGTTGAAATCGAGGGGCCAGGGGCCATAAAGTAAACTTTTGGTGAGTAGAATTATGTGTAAAAATTTCAAAACGATACGATTCTTTTCCAGTCCACGAATAAAACTTGAATCTTTCCATTTAATTAACACATACATTTTTATCAGATGCATTCAACACAGTGTAACTTTTTCAATTTTGAAGCGAACATTTTTTAATTAGAAGCTTATTCAAGAAAAATAAGAGAGCTTTCAGAGCCTACTTTTTCCCCGCCAAAATTTGAACAATGTAAGTGATTTTGTATTGAAAAAATCGGTGATTTTATTTACCATGATCCACGCACATAGTCCAAAAACGTCGTCTATTAAGCTGCCAAAAATATATTTCGTGATATGAAAGTGGTAAATGATGTTGCTAAAAGGGGGGTATTTTAGTTGAAAATGTTTATAAGTGTTTGACTCAAAAACATCGTAAGCGACTACCAAATTGTAATAAAAACTTAATTTGAATCACATACAAACCGAAAAGTAATTGCTATTCGTTACACTATATAATAGCGAATTTTTTTCTTTATCGCAATCAAGGCCATATTTGAAGGGTCTAGGGTATCTGGACTCCCCCCCCCCCCGAAATTTCTTCAATATTTTACGAATGTTTAAAATAATTATTTATTTTTAATACCAACATAAATATTTTCAGTCAAAAATGACTTAAGCTCCATTTAACTATTGACTGCTTTTAGTTTTATATTATATCATATGAAAATATGATATTAATTTTAATAAAAGAAGATTAAATCTTTTTCTGTCTTATTTTTAACCAAATATTAAAAATTAAAATCTAAATTCAATAAAATTACAATATACATGTTTTGGACCCCTCCCGAAAAAAATTTCTAGATACGGCTTTGATTGCAATAGTTTAGTGTTATGATGTTACAATCGAATTTAAAGAAAAAATTATTTATCCTAAAACGCTGAGAGTATCATATCTTATGAATTTTCGTACTTAAATATACTTGTGTTGAAGAATTAATAAAATACTTAAGTTACAAAGATTTAAAATGTGTGTGGATAATTTTCTTTATTTTAAAAACCTATTTTTCTAATTTTTTAAAAACCATTTTCCAAAAATTTAATTTAGAAGATTCGTTGAGGTCTCTAAATTATGATTATCTCTGTATTTTTTTTTTTTTTTTGATAATTCAGAATAAATTAAGAATTTTTATTTACATTTTACGAAACACGAAAAATCTGATTAAAAAATGATCGCTTCAAAATTGAAAAAGTTACACTACGTATTCAACGAATTGTATTCAGCATCCGATAAAAATTTATGTGTTAATTAAATGGGAAAATTTAAGTTTTATTCGTGGACTGGAAAAAAATTTTATCGTTATGAAATTTTTACACATAATTTTACTCACCAAAAGTTAACACCATGACTACTGGTCCTCTGATTCCAACTAATATTCATCGAGATACAAAAATATGAAGCCATCTAATATATATTTATATTTATAATGGATTGTTGGAATATTTATACTTTTTTATACATTGTATTGAATACGAATTTTTCCAGATAACAATAATAAATGTTGGCCTATGTGCCTATATGATATGTAAATAAAAATTAAAAATTAAATTGCATTTAAAATTTGAGATAATTTTATGGCTAGGTTTTTAAAGACTTTTAAGTCCAGTTCCCTGTTAGTCTGTTATTACTATCACATATTTTTACTATGCCACTATCCAAAATAGTAGTCGTTTTTCCAATGATTTGAAAAAATCCGTTTATTTTCTGATTTTTTGATTTTCTTTTAATCATTATGAATAGCACACCACATAACTCAATAACAAAAGACAAAAACGTTAATGTTGGTAAATAATGATGGATAATAGCGAAATGTACTTACAAAACGTTTAATACAATTATGTTATTTATACTTAGACAACGTACGATAAGGTTGTAACGCATAGTCATGTTTGATTAACAACGTAATTAACGATAAGAAATAAGAAGTACTAATTTATATTTTAAAAAACGTTTAAGTTTCAGATAAATGAGAATTAAATTTATTTTAAATTTTTACTAAATACTTTTGCAAGTTGGTTAACAAATGATCGGAAGTCAGATTTTGCCTGCGGAAGGCAGTTAGTAACCACTGATTTACATCAGTAGCGGGTTTTATTGGGGGTTCAGGATGTCTGAACCCCTCCCCCCAAGTATTGAGTTTAAACTGTGATATATTATTCATTCGGAATGCTAGGGTTTAAAATGATGTTATATTTTTATGTTTATAAAATTAAATTTAAGAATTAAATTTTAAGTAATAAATTATTAATAGATTGATCATTTTTGTGACCTACTATATAATAAGATAATATCAAAGGACCCCCTTTTCAGAAAAAAATCTAAAAACCACCACTTTTTTACATACTTTGTATGTGATTTCGTATTAATATGCCTATACGTACATAATTATTTACAATAACTTACGTCACTAAAATTTGACCATTAGCGAACCAGTCCATGATAACCACGCTACAGCATGACTGGCAATGATTGTCTAGAATCCCATTGGTGATACAACCACAGCTAGATGGTTTTTGATCATGATCGAATCCATTAACTTGTTCCTTCAATAGCCAAACCTGAAAGAAATAATATAAATTTACTTTCAATCTGAAACAAAAAAAAATTCGATTACACTGACATCGCTCAACAACAATTTGTAAAAAATGCAATTTAAATTCTAACAAATCCCCCGATGAAATATAACATAATATATTTTAAGCGGTATAATAAGTATACGTAAAATGTTTATTTATTTTCCACGTGATTGTTTTTAAATGTTTTCAGTTCATAAAAAGGTTAGCTTAAACTATTTTGTACAACAACAGTATTAATCTTAGTACAAAGTACGCAATTATTTTAATTTCTAATAAAACTTCACATATTTTTAACTGGTTTGTAAATTTAGTTTTCCGGAAAAAAAATTGTGATTTATTAACAATCTATACTTTCTCTATGTTTTACAAATAATAATTCAATTTCATTTAAGTAGATTGATTAAATTGTCCGATTTCATTGCACATATGAGGTGTTTACCTTAAAGACGAATTGGTCCAATATTATTATATTTATTATTTAATTATTAATATTTGGTAGAATTATGATAGTCTGTTATTTATTTAATAAAAGTTTTGTGACTATTTTAATAATAATCAAATTGGATTCTGGCCAAATAAATTATTATTGTTGCTGTCGTTATAAAATATATTTTTAAATTTTGTATTATTCAAAAAGTTTGTACACATAATGTGTGTTGACGAATTGTGCGAAAAACTTAAACATTTGACATCACCATGATTCATAACGGTACACGTTTCCGAAATAATTCATATCGAATACGAGTGTAAAACTTTGTAATAGTGTATGGATTTTAAACAATTCCAAACACAACGATGTCACATCGCGTTCGTCGTTAAACAAATTATTACAAAAAATTCTATACAAACAGATTTTTCGCACTCGAAAACTTTTAAGTTCGCATTTAGTTTTTCATTCAACCATTCCAATTCGAGTTGTACAACGTGAACCTGTAACCACGCGTAAAAACAAAATAAAACTGCCTCCCGTCCCTTGATCTTATTCCGAATACCATCCATCAATTATACACAACAGAAAAGGACTAGAAAATTATGGGCCGACCCATACTGTGAACGTCGTCCAGAGAATAGTTCACAGTTCACTCTACATTAGTAGTTTAGTCATCGATTTTGATCCAGTCACGTTAAGATTTAGCCAACTAAATCCGTTTGGTAGGTATGATAATTTTTAACTTTACATTAAACGTTACTACTGAACTGCATCGGCTCGAAGAAACCGACCCGGTCAGCATATACCACTACACTTACTACCCCGCTCGACCGGACTAACTCGACTTGTAGCGCGAACCGAGCTTAACGGGTGCGTGCAGTTCCCGTAACCGCCCTCTGAGCGCTTATTTTGTACGAAAACAAATAAACCGACTTAAATTTAATTCAAATTCGCCCGCTCGGCCACCGCCCATTTCGCCAACCCCTAGCTATACACGGCACTAGAGCCCGGGCACACGTTCTCGTACACACCAAAGGCACCGACCTTTACGTGATTAGTCTTCTTCGTCGCGGCGGCGGTGGCGGCATAGTCACCGTCGTGGTCGTAATCGCGGTCGCGGTCGTGGTCGTCGTGTCTGGTCAACGATTCGTCCGACTCGTCCGACTCGTCCCGATCTGCATTACGCGCTGGCGGCGACACGTCCAAAGCGTGACCGAACAGCCCGTCCGGGTCGCGGAAGTACCACCCGGCGGTCGGCGAACTCGGGTCGTCGAACTGGCCGGTACCGCGGCAAACCGTATACGAATACGCCAGCTGCTCGCCCTGCACGTCCCACTTCACGCAGCATACCGCCGTCTTCCCGGCCGCCGCCGCCGACTTGTCCGGCGTCTCCGCGTGCAACGTGTACCGTATGCACTGGCTGCGCTCCGACCACAAGTGCACCGATGACTCTATGGCCGCCGTCACGTAGCCCGTCGAGCTCCAGTCCAGTATCTTGGTCACTGCGGGCAAAACACATTTAGAAATCCATTCGGAATGTCGCCTTTCCTATCATTCCCCCCCCCCTTTTGGCCGAAAAAACACATAAACGATAACGGGTACGTCGAAATCAAAGCATTTGGAGTCAGCTCGAAATAATGAATATTGCGTTTACCCACGTTTTATATCTTTCAAATCTAATAAACGTCCATAAACCAAAAAGAGCAACGGGTAGATCACCTATGTTTTAAGCTTCTTCGACGTTTCAAACTTTCGCCAAACTTTCGGCCCGAGACTCCTGTGCTTTTCGCACTCGAATTGACTTCGGTAGTTGTTAAAACGTTGGTTGTCCCGAAATTTTGTCTTTAATTAGTTTTTAAATCAATGGCCTTAGTACTTATCGAGGATTCTAAACGATTTTATCCAATACTTAAAAATATAAATTGTATTCTAAGCTTCCCAACTGACCTCCTGATGGTCGCTGGCAATTAATACGTTTTATTGCAATTAATATTAATTTTATATGATATACAGTATGGGGTAGAAAGACTAACTCATTATTGGTTTTACAATAGACAATTATTCATCGCAAATTAACACAACTTATATTTTCGCACGCTTCGCAATATGTTTTATACGCGTGACAGATGTCAGTTTTATATAATTAAACGCCCGACCCGTGAATCCATATTTATCGTTAAACACTTAATACACGGTTTACAACCTTTCGAATATAAGGGGAACGTGTTATGGTGATTTGTCACCAAAAATTTCAACATACCCCAGTCGTTCGATAAATCGGGCATGTCTAGTAGAAGATCGGCGACAAGGCTCTTAGTGTTGTGATTGGACTTCCTGGCGAATAGTCTTTGGCGAATCATTCGTATAGGCCACCCTAAATCACTATCCACTTCAGCGCCGATCCTAAGCTCTATCGTTTCGTCCGGCATACGTGGCAGCATATAACCGCCGAATTCCAACGACAGGTACGATTGCAGTTGTCGAAAAACTCGGCATCGTTGCTCCTGTTGTCGTTTGCATTGAAACGGCTCCATGAAGGTCTGTAAGCAAATGTCCAACATTTCAATGCGATTCGAATGCAATGCAGCGCATACGTAATGTACATAAATTACGATATGAACTCTATGCATTAGAAGAAAAAAAATGTAAACTACGCATGCATACGTCTATCGCGTGAATTCCATATAATTTTCTGTTCGTGACTCGATCGGAATACTCGCAACGGGATAGCATGCATAAAAACAAATAAATTAAAAGGTTGGCAGTGAATCTACAGAGATTCGGAAATCGCGTGTAACTCCGATGTCGGTAAATTGAATGTGAATAACGTCACATTTTTAATTTTTAACAAATTGTGAAAAAACACTACTCGACAATGTTCCGGTTTTCACGTAAATATTGTCAAAAAAACATATTATACATCGTTTTGATATAATCGCGTCCATGATAATGTAATATGTAACGCGTCTATTGTTTTTTTTTTCAATAAATCATTACTTGAAGATCACGAGATGATTGATGACGAAAGGATTTCGAAACAAGTCGTGAACGTTGTGGACGGGGCCGTCTCGAAGATGAAAATCAAGGGGGGGGGTGAATAATATGAAAAATGCCGACTGCAATTTTTTTACTCAGTGTATGTAGTATAATTAATTATATGTAGTCGTATTTTTACTTTTTAACATGTATATATGCATCAGTGTCGCATGTTTTTAGAATTGATAATTTAATTATAAATATATTATAATATTTTATATCGTATAATAAGGAGTTATATAAATTTTATTCGTTATACACTATATTACGAAATATGTAATATTTGTTTTCCGTAAGTAAAATTAGGTCCTTCGAGGCTATAATGAAACAAGTCCGACTGCCGACTGGTGCTTTAGTTGGGGGAGGGGTGAGACACCTTTCCAAGATCCCCTTTGGGACGGCCCTGGTTGTGGGGGATAACAACAATAATCAGAACAAACACGATTACTTGTGAAATAACAAAATGACATTTGTTTATGAATTCACAGTACGGTATAGAAACAGCATTCGTTGTTAAAGTGGTACGAAACAGAAAAAAAAAGATCTAAATTACGCGGTGTAGTTTTTCACCGTTTTTCTTCGGCCCGCAATTTAAACTTTCAAAACGGCCCAACCCAATCCCGGTCCTTAATTATTTTTTGAAGTCCGACCCGACCAGGCCCGTTCGTAGTATTTATTATTCGTTGTTATCGGTGATTTATTTATAAATATCATATAGACGAATAATATATACGTGTTTTTATTACGATTTGTGACAAACTTACACCATCATTTTGAGAACGTTTCCTTATCTAGCGCTATAATAATTGGCATTAGAATTACGTTACTCTTATACTGTAATGCGCATAGAATTATTTTTAATCGTTAATGACTACATAATATCGACAACGACTGTTATCGGTGAGCAGCGATGAGTGGGGTAAAAAAAAAAAAAAATTATTCTTACGATTTAGTTAATATTTCGCGAATGCCGATCACACAGGTGTTACCGATTAAATCGGGGAGTTTTATTTCCGACCGGTCCGAAGAAAAACACTACGACGAACCCAAAAGCAACCAGCAATATTCATATTGCGGCCGCGGCCCGTGCAGATCTCGATCGGCGATCGTTGTGACGCGCGATATCGGCGTTGCGCAGCGGCCGTACCGCCCCGGGTCGGAACGGTGCGGCATCGCGGGGCACAGGGCAGGCGGTACTACACTCACGGTCACGGATCCGTTGCAGTACACGCACTGGTGGTTCAGCGCGTTGCTGTCGTGTACGGAAGAAAACGAGTACGCGTCCTGGTGCCGGTCGGGCACGAACCGATCTCTGTCCTGATCGTATCTGAACATGACGGACGGCCGCTGCTGGTGGTGCTGCTGCCGCCGCGCTCCGGGGCTCTCGGGGTGGCAGGTGGTGCGTGCGCGCGACGATCGACGGATTTCGTGGTGCACGGGTGCGCGATCCGTTCCCGTTGGCGCGTAACGGTCGCCGATCGCGACGACGTAGTAATAATAACGATGATAATAATCGTCACCCGGTCGAATAACGTGCGCGAATAACGTTACGCGGACCGTTCGCGCGCGATACCGTACGGCGGCGGCCGGGCGGCGGAGAGGACCGGCGGGGCGGTCGTGTGATAACGATCCGGC